GTGGTAATAAATATGAAATATAAGTTTCATTTCAGCTTTATAATTTCATTATGCTATCTCTAAGTTCTTTTTCTTGTAATCCATGAAACATTGTCAGCAGAAAAAAGATACAGAATAAATAGTTGCTATTTTGAGTCAATTTGTCATCCGTAATAAATTTCTTTTACACTTCCACGCTTTCCGTTTTTTTGACCTAAAATCTATTACATTATAGTCCTATAATATGTGACTTCTTCATTATGTAAAGCAATCATGATATCACTGGGTATTTTTTTTTTTTAATTTTTTTTTTGGTACCGGGGATGGAACTTGGGACCTTGTGCTTGTGAGGCAGGCTCCGGAACCACTTAGCTAAATCCTTTGCTTCACTGGGTATTCTTTAATGGTCTGTTGTCTCATTGGAAAGGTCAACAAGGTTAAGTATCACATCTGCCTTTTATGATGCTCAGCGCATTGACCATAGTCGATAAAGGTGTGGAGGTTAGTCACTGAGATAAAAGAGATGGAAACAGGATATGTATTCGTGTGCACAGAGTATGTGAGTCAATCTGAAGTAAATAAAATAAGTCAACTTATATACTTCTATATTGAAAATTAAGCTGAGAATTATGTGTTAAAAAATACATTGTTGAAAAATACTTTGCTAATTTCTTTGTCTCTCAATTATTTCTGTTATTGTAAAGAAAATTAATTATTGGTTTTAGGTGGTAAATGTCCAACCAGGGTATGAGATATGAAATTTTATTAGTTCTAATTATGAATATTACAGCTTTTTCCTGGTATGGTGGCACACACTTTGAATCTCAGCATTCTGGGAGGCTGAGGCAGGAGGATAGCAAATTCAAAATTACTCTAGGCAACTTAGTGAGATCCTGTCCCCAAAATAAAAAATTTAAAAGGTCAGAAGAATTAGCTTAGCATGAAAGCCCTGTGTTCAATCTCCAGGACTATTTTTTAAAAAAGCTATTAAAGCCAATTAAGTTGCCAAAATACATTCAAGGGATATACCAGAAAACTGCAATAGCTAAAAGTTCTAATCATTCATTTTTTAAGGAACTTAAGATTACAGAAAAGCTTTTCTCCTCAGTGTCTTATTGGCTGTCCTAATAATTTTCATTCTTCCTGTGCCCAGCATCTTTGCAGTGTAACATCACAGCCCCAACCAGTGTGAGATCAAGTGACCTGCCATATCACTTGGCACTGGACTAAGCACATGACTCGCATTTTCCAATGGTATACCAGCTCATGTCCTGGGTTTTGCTCTCTTAAACCTCTGCCATCATCATGGAAACACGGCCAGATCAATTTTCTGAACAATAAAAGAAATGTGCACCCCAGCCAAGTCATCACAGTGGTCCCTGCCAAGACTAACCTAAATCAGCCAACATCTCACTACTGCATATGACCCTGAAACATAAGCAAGAGGCTGTAATATGACACTGAGCACTACTGAGATCACATAATGACCAGATTATCATAGCCTAAATTGCCAACATGCAGGTTAGTGGTTAAGTAAGTACTAGATATGAAAAGCCATTGATTGGGCCATAGATAATTGATATGGAAGTCCTAATATTTAATGCAAATCAATGTATACCAGAACAATGTTTCCTCACACCTTGCATCTCTTATCCCATGAAGTGATTATAATCATTGTTATAGAATTTAGAGAAAGATTATGATTTAATACATGAAATCAGTGTTTTAACGAAATGAGACATTCAAATACAATACTAAGAGCATTTCTTATATTTATACCAAAGCATTTTGTTTTTTAAGGAAATCTATTATATTACAACAAAAATTGAACAAAAAGTCAAGAGATCCAGAAACAGTCCTGGATTTTGCTGTCTTGTAAAAGCAAAAAAGTAGTTTTACCAAATAAAAATTCTTGAATATCAAAAGGCTGATGGACTAGGAAGCACCAAGAATCATAGGAACATCAAATAAACAAATACAGAAGACTAAAATAACTTTTTTTGAGTCTGAGAATTGGTCTACTACCTACAGTGCTCAAGAAAATGACCGATGAAGAAAAAAACATATTCCAAATTGTAATCAAACCTATCTAGAATTTAGGTATACAAGAAGCTGGGAAGGATTCTTTCAAACTTATGTTTTTGTTCCACTAGTGCATGACCTGTTTCATTTTTGTTTTCCACTTCAACCAATTAAATGAGAATATACAATGATAAAACATTATAGAGAAGAGGAAAAATGCTAACAAATTCATATATAGATTCTTCTTTTGAGGCTTATAGAATAAAAAAAGCCAAAATATTTTTATTAGTTTCAATCTGTTTTATTGTCTCAGAATCACTTAACAACTCTTTAAATCCAGTAATGGAGAAATAGTCATACACACATAAATGTGTTCCCAGTTTAGATATTGTTGAAATAAGAGGAACATTTTAATATTATGTGTGTAATGCATGTGAATATGTGCATATAAGATTTATTTAAAACACTGATAATACCTTCTGGTGGAAGCTGGGGTAACAGATTAGGATTAAAGAAAGAACGAAATGAATATTTTCCCTTTAATATGGAAATATCCCTCTAATTTTAAAGGGCAATGTTAAAAACAGGGCAGAAGCAATATACTCTAACCAAAGGATGCAAAGAAATTCAGAGCAGCAAAAGGAGCCCCAAAAATCTCTGTCTGAAGGGTGTCCTCCTTAAGCCTTAACAGAAATAAGTAGTTACCTGGGGCAATAAAATGTTCCTTAAATTGAAAGACAGTATTTTTCAAAAACTAGTTTAGTATAAAGAAAAAAATGACATTTATGTTAGTGAGATATGGTGCCTCCTATATTTTCTTTTTGTATTTGGTTCACACCTAGAGAAGTTTGAGTTTTGAACTTTATAGGTATACACACTCAATATTTCCTGATAAATATGTGTTCACCTTGAGGGTAAAAAGCATATAAAGTTAAAATACTTCTCTTCACCTCATGTTTCCGAAAAAGAACAGATGACATTTTGAGATTATGATAGTCCCATCTATTATATTACAAGTAACTATCTACATAGTATGTTTGCCTCAAAATTTAAAGAAATATCTTTCTTTCCTCAGAACATAAATTTTTCATGAATGTACATGGAGTACATATTTTAATTAGGACCTAGTTTTGAGACATGTATGTTTAGGAATATATTTTTATTTTTAAAAAATTTTCTTTCTCTAAAGTGGAGAGACCTGTCAAGAGAAATTAGAAGCTTCTTCAAATAAGTGGGATATTTTCTTTTCTGCAAGGATATTTCCATAAAACTTAGGAATGTAAAAGAACAGATATATGGCATTTAACTCCTTTTTCTCTGCTTCTGCCTCTGTCTAGATCTATCTGTCTCTCTCTACTTTTCTGGCTCTAACCCTGTCTCTCTGTCTCCCTCTTCCATTCTATGTATAGGCATGGTTTTCAGTTAGAATATAAATCACTTCATATGTTATGTGTTCCTGTTCAAGACAACCATTCAATTTATTAAAAGAATGATCAGGGATATTGACCACAATAATCACACTCTTATCTATCACGGTTTTACTACACTTGTCTAAAATAGTGTCGTGTCTATTGACAGAAAAAGCTTCTAGAAGTGTATATCAAGCTAAAACCTTCCTCTAACTGGTTTCTTTATTCAGTTTAGCTAGTTATTGCTCCAAGTGTTGAATGGCTCCCTAGTGCAACAGAAGATCAGAAGGAGGAGCTGAAGGTACATAACTTAATTTCAATTAGCCGTGGGATGCTGGGAGAGTCAGACCATGCACACTCACGTACATATGTCAATTGGAAATAATGTTCCCATGTTAGACAAACAAGATTATTTAGAATTAATTAGCTGCTTATAATCCAAATTATGTTCTAAATGATTTAAGATACTATGTAATAACATATTTTATATATTATTTCATACATAAATGACATAGAAAAGTTATATCCAAATAACATATTTCTGCCACTGAAGAAAATATGGAAAAGAAAAGCTAATTACAAAAGAAATACAAAGGCAAGAAATATGATTAAGGCACTGAATTTACAGATTAAGTTCTAAATAAATACCTGTGCTCTTTGGACTATAGACCTAGAAGTATGAGGAAATATGTCTATAATGCTAAATTACAGAATGAGAGAAGAGGCAGGTTCATGAGTAAATGTACTTTTTAGTCTTCATCATAAAAGAAACAAGACAAGATGCATAAAATTAGCAAGAGAATGATAAACATGACTAGATTTTAATTAAAGTTATTTTGTGCACGGCAAGTGAAGATTAAAGAAATTTAAAGGAAGAAATAAAAAGGCAGTGATAGATTTTCTTAGTTAACTGGGAATTAGTTATTGTTGAATGGAGGAAAGTGAGACTTGAAGATCAGTTCACAACTTTTTGGCTTTAATCCACACATGCACACATGGGAGAAACAGAATGCAACCAGGTTGCTAAAAATCGGATACAAATAAGAAAATAGAAATGTGTGCTTCTCTCAGTAAGAACTCTAAACAAAAAATAGTTTTCTTGTTTTCCTTTTTGTTCTTATTGGAGCTCACTGACACTAGGTCTTTAGACTTGGACATAAAGAGTGTTCACACAATGGTACAACATCTACGTCCATAGCACCCTATGCCCTGACTTTTTTCAGTCTGTCTTTCTTGCCCTGCCAATAGGGCCTGAGTGAACATACCTATCACAGTCAGCCACCTCCCTCCTGAGAAGATATCCTTGCCCTTGACATCATTAGCATGCAATGTAGTTTTTTATTTTTTTTCCCATGGGTTATTCATCTGTTCACCAAGAATGTGTACTTTGAGGGCTACTGTGTCCCAGGCACATTTCTGGGAGCACGGCCAGGAATGCATTTAATAAACCGACATTTTCCTGACCTGGATGTGATTAAATTCTATAGGGAGGAGACAAAAAAACCATAACACAGAAGCAGAGGATATATTATGTTAAATAGTGTCTAATATGATAAAGCAAAACAATACAGGGAAGAGAGAAGCTTCTTGGTTGTTTTTTATTTTAAATAGAGGGGTCAGGGACTATCTAAGAAGGTGATGTACAAATAAGACAAGAAGGACATGCAGCAAGAGTGATACTGCCCCATCCAGGAGAAAGGTATTGCAGAATGGGGCATAGCAGGGACAGGGTTCTTTCTCCCGAAGAACTTTCTAGTCTTCTCCCTCTGTTCAGTTCAGTTCTCCCTCTGAAACAAATGATTAGAGATAATTAAAGGACGATGCTACTGTTGATTAACATAATCTAGTTGTGTCTATTGCTATTGGATAAGTTATCATAAAATTTAGTGTGATATAACAACAAATATTCATTAACTTTGACAGCATCTGTGGGCTAATGAAGAAAAGGACGCTTCAGTGGGCAGTTTTTTTCTCATGAAGCTGCAGACACAACATCAGTTTGGACTGTAGGCATCTAGACTCTTCACTGAGATGGAAGATCTGATTCTCAGATGACTCACTGTACCTGCCTGGGCCCTGGCTGAGACTGGGAGATCTGGGTTTCTCTCCTCAAGACATCTGGAGTGCTCTTGTCACACAGGATTGTCTTTCCCCAGAATAAGCAAGTCAAGAACAAGCCACAAGCAAAAGATAATCAATTTCTTCAGATTTCTGATCTCAGAAGTTACATAGCATACTCATCCCATGTTTAGTATATTTGTTAAAAGCAAGTAACTAAGACCACATCACATTTTAATGGGAGGAGAATCAGACTTTACCCTTTAACACGATGAGCGCCACAGTTTATTAGCTGTATTTTTAAACTATTGCAAGAAATAATAGCAGATACAGAGTCCCAAGTGGAAGGCAATTAAAGAAAATCCCCTGAATGACAAATTAAAGCCCATAATAATGACGCTAAGAAGGCTGAATTACATTATTTGTCAGAAAGCACAAGACCCTTATCAGAATATAATCTCGAATTCCATAAAGAAGAAACATATCAGAAAAGAAGCTTTCAGTAGACTAGCAATTTGATTCTTTCTCAAAAAGGAAAATATATCCCAATAGCTGGATAAAGGATGTCAGGAAGTTCTGGTAGATCAGAATGAATATCTATCACTGTATTGCAATAGTCAATAATCCCCCATGCTGCGAATTACATATATCCCTCAGGGAACAGAAAGTATTATTTATCTAAAGTTATGTGTTAAAATGTAGACTCATGGCCTCTTTCAATAAAAAAATGAAATGTTTTAAGTTTCTGAAAAACATGCTTGTACAATTTCTAATATTGAATAGTTTTCATTATTAGTTGAACACTCTATGTTCTTGTTCATGTTAATATTCTCTTTATTGGAGGTTGGTTATTTGAAGGAACGTGTATTCACTTATGATGACTGTCTAACAAAAATTCTTCAGAAAGAAGGAGTACATACATAATAAGTTCCTGACACCTTTCACTGTGATGTTTCCATCAGAAGAAAATTAATTTTCTTAAACATTAAAGTTTATTTTCAACTAAACTTACATGATTTTTGTTTTATTTTTTATGGAAACTTTGTTAAATAATTGAAAACATTGTGTGTGTGTGTGTGTGTGTGTGTGTGTGCGCGCGTGTGCGTGAATGCTAGGGATGGACCCTAGAGACTTATGCCTGCTTGGCAAGCATTCCACAACTTAGCCACATCTCCAGCCCCTAGAAATAGTTTTAAAATTTTTTAACATTTATAAATAAGTTATCAGTTTGAAGTTGTTTAGTTTTTGTTATTAAAATAACAAAAATTTTCAAATATTGTGTGCATGGTACATAATTTTATGCATTTATCTCAAAGAACTATACATTAAAACCAGACAATTTTTATTATAAGCAAATTATACATAAATTAAAATAACTAAATAAAAAGGGAATAGTCTCAAATTGTTTAGTATATATTCAATGAAATAGCCAATACCATATTCTAAATATGTTTTACCATATGTGTGTATGCTTGTGTGTTGCTTATGTACTGTATGTGTATGTTGTCAATTTTGAGAATAATAATTACCCTCCAAATAACTTGACAATATGTGGATAATTTTATAGAGTACCCATCTGTATCCATATAGTCCTTTACTCCTGAACCATACCCCAGTGGAATAGATGGCTGTTTACTTGCTCAAGGTGTATATATTCAGCCATACCTTGTAGATCTTACACAAAACACTCCATAAATTAGCAATTATACTTCTCAGGCTTTTATCTGCTTCAGAACTGCAGCTGCCAGGGGTTGGCGATTTGGGGGGAGAGAAGATCCTATATCCTATCCCTGCTTGCTTTGAATCTAATATTGTGCTTGTGAGACAATTCTTAAGATCTGTGATAAATAGCTCAAAAAAACCACAACAGACAAGTATGAAAGTATGGAGAATGCTAGAAATCTCACATTTTTCCTTCTTTTGCATTACCCTCTTCTTTTTTTTTTTTCTTTTAGAAATTGGCAATCTGAATTATTAGTATAGCATGCTGGTTCCAAGCAAGTACTTTAGAACAATAACTGAGTTTGTATTCGATATCTGCCAAGCGAAAAGTTAAAGTCTGTAATTTTAGGTTTCTTCACTTGAAGAATAGAAATACTTGCTGTTATGAAAATAAGTGTATTAATAAAAATGAAGTCCCTGAGCATACTGCCAGGAATTTAGCAAATGCCCGATTCTAGGTACACATTGTTATTTCTGATGAGAAATCCACTACAATACATAACGCTACATAACTAAAGATTTTAAAAATAGAGTATGGTATATTTGATTTTTCTCCACACTTTGTATATTTTCTCCACACTTACATCTTCATTCAAAGTCTCAGCACAGAAGTCAATATTCACAGAAAGAAAAAAAGAGTTCTAAGCAATCTGGTGTTTGATATATAGATATCTTCACTATCATGAATATAAATCATTTATTTCAATTGCTTCATGTATTAAATTAAATACTTTTCAAATTATATTTTTAGGCTGCAAACCAGCGGTAGTTGTTAATCATTGTATCTACTCATTTAGATGGAATCAATTCTTAAAAAGTTCAAGAAACCCAAGAAACAAATAGATCCTTTTTATTACAGAAAGGTAGACCACAGTTATACTCTATCTCAGTTTCTGTAACAGGGAAAATTCCTAGTTAGAAGTCAGCTTTTGGAGAGGCAGATGAGAGATGTGAGAGCCAGAGCACCTGGGTAAGAGGTTCAGAGCTTTTGACATTTTATGCAAGTATGGAAATTAGACTTTTAGCTTTATACCAACCATTTACTCTTCACACACAACACACTTCATTATGAGAAAGAACAAATTCAGAATCAAGATCATTGGTTATCAGTCTTGTCTGCATAGTGTAATCACCTAGGATACTTTACAAACTAAAGTTTCATTCCCTGTCCCTAGAGATTCTGATTTAATTTGCATGAAATGTGCCTTTTGCACCAGGATTGTTTTAAATTCCTTGGGTGATTCTTAAATGTGGGAAATTTTGAGAACTACTGGCCTAAAGAAAAGGGAAGGAGGGTGAATTCAAGTAAATACAGTACTGAAAAGCTTATTGCCCAATATCTGATTCAGGATGAGAAAAGAAATTACAAAATATAGTGATCCCCAAATGAATGGCTAACTGTGGTTTACATACTATATTCCCTGAACTATTTGCTAGCATATAACTTGACAACTATCATAATCATAGGCATGAGAAATTGTTCCAAAAACTTATTTAGCTCCAATTTCCAAAGTAACTTATTTCCAAAATATATACTTTAGTCTCCCATGTGTTTCAAATTGAACAATTTAAAGACCAATTTTTCTGTCATAATACTGGACATTGGAGAGGAAATTATGATACTTGAATTTTAACTTCATCTCTGCAACCAAACAGAATAGTTATCCTACATTTCAACAGATCAAATTCTAATATACTTGACAACACACTAAACAATATGGTATGAATAGATTTATTCATATTTCTTTGCTGATATGAGAAAACACTGTATTTTACAAGAGATACTCAAGGCTAAAAATCTGTGTGGGAACTCATTGCAATTGTTCCCCTCCGCAAGTCTGATTCCTACATTAAAGTCCGTTAAAAAGAAACAAGGTAATGTACAGTGTGCCCTCAAAGTTTTCAGAATGAATAATATCTAGCTTTTCAGGTGTTCACTGCACTGCCTGGTGAAAATGATAATGGTAAATTCCCATTCAAATTCCTTCAGCTATTAGGAAAATAGTCTCTTTTAACTCGTATTAGGTACTCAGGTTTTATACCAGCTCTCTGTCTTTGAAAAATACTTTTTAAGAGCCAAAATTATTATTCCACTTAAATAACTAGTTATTTTGCAAACAACATACTATGTCTGAGCATTACAAATATAAAGCAAAATAAATAAATGTGTGCCTTACAGGTCTGGTCTTTCTTATGCAGGGCAATACTAACATGACTTAAACCAGAGCTGTATCTCAACTTTACGTGCACCTAATTTTGCAGCCACAGTTAAGTTCTTTGAAAAAATTGTATACAAACTACCAACAAAAATAATTTCATACTCTAGGCATGCCAGCTAAAGATATTCTCATTTAGAGAGAAAATCAGACTACAGTTGTGATATAATAAGTGGAGTCTTAGTTACTTTTCTGGTTGATGAGAAAAAATACCTGACCTCCAAAGTTAAAGAGGAAAGGGTTTGGTTTATTTGCCTCACAATTTTAAGAGGTTTCAGTCCATAGTTGGCTGGCTCCAAGGCAGAGTGGCACATGCCAGAGGGGTGTCCCAGAGGAGAAACTGTTCATGATGCCCACATGGTAGAAAAAGCAGCAAGGGACTTTAACAGTGTCTTTCTGCCCCTTTTATCTTATCCAGACTACCAAGATTATGGCGATTCCAAATCTATCAGTGTACTGGTTTAATAATCACACGCCCTTAATCCCAGCATCACACACTCTAGATTCAGCCACCTCTGCAAAAGCCACCTATTATCAAATGAGGCTTTGGAGGGACATCTAGACCATAACAACTGGTTTGTAGAAGAAAGTCAATGTAAAATAAAGACCAAAAAAATAATTGCAATGTGATCGGTATATCTATCAACTAGTACCTCAATTTTGTTAATTTGCTCAGTGATACATAAGCCACACACAGATACTGTATAGTTATTTAAAATCTACTTATTTCCTTTCCTTATCTTCTCACTGAAGTGGGCCTACTTAAGTTTCTTGGTATTTTTATGAGTATA